TCTCTCTCTCGCTCTATATCTCTCTCTCGCTCTATATCTCTCTCTCGCTCTATACCTCTCTCTCGCTCTATACCTCTCTCTCGCTCTCCATCTGTCTCTTTATCTCTGTCTCTGTCTCTGTCTCTCTCCCTACATCTCTCTCTCTCTGTCTCTGTCTCTCTCTCTCTCTACATCAGTCTCTCTCCCTTCATCTCTCTCTCTCTCTCTCTCTCTCTCTCTCTCTATCTGTCTCTATATCTCTCTCCCTCTGTCTCTGTCACTCTCTGCCTGTATGTGTGTCTCCCTCTCTCCACCTCTGTGTCTGTCTCTCCCTCTCTCTCTCGCTCTGTGTGTCCCTCTCTCTCTCTCCCTCTCTCTCTATTTCTCTCTCTCTCCATCTGTCTCTCTCTGTCTGTCTCTCTCTCTCTCTCTCTCTCTCTCTACATCTGTCTCTCTCCCTACATCTCTCTCTCTCTCTCTCCCTCTCTCTCTACATCTCTCTCTCTCTCTCTCCACATCTGTCCCTTTATCTCTGTCTCTCTCTCTACATCTCTCTCTCTCTCTACATCTCTCTCTCTCTCCCTCTGTCTCTCTCACTTTCTGCCTCTGTGTCTCTCTCACTCTCTGCCTCTGTGTCTCTCTCTTTCTCTTCATCTGTCTCTCTCTCTCTCCATCTCTCTGTGACTCTCTCTCTCTCCATCTCTCTGTGACTCTCTCTCTCTCTCTCTACATCTCTCTGTCTCTCTATCTCTCTCTCCCTCTGTGTTTCTGTCTCTCTGTCTCTCTCTCTCTACATCTTTCTCTCTCTCTCTCTCTCTCCATCTCTGTCTCTCCATTTCTTTCTCTCTCTCTCTTTCTCTCTACATTTCTCTGTCTCTCGACATCTCTTTTTCTCTCTCTCTCTCTCTTTCTCTCTACATCTGTCTGTCTCTGTCTCTCTACATCTGTCTTTCTCTCTCTCTCTACACCTGTCTCCCTCTACATCTGTCTCTCTCTCTCTCTCTACATCTGTCTCTCTCGCTCTCTGCATCTGTCTCTCTCCCTACATCTGTCTCTCTATATCTGTCTCTCTCTCTCTACATCTGTCTCTTTATCTCTGTCTGTCTCTCTCTACATATGTCTCTCTCTACATCTCTCTCTCTCTCTCGCTCCATCTGTCTGTCTGTCTCTCTCTCTCTCCCTCTATCTCTCTCTCCCTCTATCTCTCTCTCCCTCTATCTCTCTCTCCCTCTCTCTCTCTCTCCCTCTATCTCTCTCTCCCTCTATCTCTCTCTCCCTCT